TTGAATTAAACATACAACGAGGATCGATTTGACCTCGTTGCGATGTTAACGGAATTAAACACTTTATACTATCGCGCCATTGCTAATTACAATTAATTTCAATCCAAGAAAATCGCGAAGCATTGAATATTTAATTTTATAAATGATTCGTAATCGTATGTTACCAACACAAAATTCTTGAAGAATTCTCAGATATTTCTTTCCGAAACTCTACTTTCTCAATTGCATAATAAATATTTCTAGCAAAGAACTTTATCAGCTTTTCTTTAAGACAGTCGTAAATATTTCATTTTGTTTCAATTTTTACGAAAGTTTTTTTTTTAAAAGCATTCATATTTTATATCTAACAAAGAAATATCATAATCAAGATGGATAATCAGATATTCTGATATACGGAAGTGTTCGCAGAGCATGCCTAGTTTAAAACTAAATTAAAACTAAAAGATATCTTCACGGAAAGAACGATTTTGCTAAAGTATCTAAAAATTTAAATAGATGCAAATCAGAAAATAATTTTGTTGGACCATCAAAATAATTAAACTAGAACATGATAAGCAATGTTGCAAAAAGTCGAACAAACAATTTGAGTGTCTTACTTAATTATTTTTTGATAGATCAAAAAAACTTTATTTAAGATCTGTATCTAGATTTTTAAATACTTTAGGAAAACTTTGCCATGTCACAATTTTTGAAGGTGGGAGAAAGAACTCGAAATGAAACAATCTGTAGGAAAAGGCTCCAACCGGTATTCCATCATTGAGTTATGGGTACAGGTGAAGTCGGGAGCGACGCGTAATCGACGATGCGTAAACCCGGCAGAGGAACCGACCGACCGACCGACGCGGACTTGGATTCTTCTAAAAATAATACCCGTCGCGCGCGCGCGCGCGCCTAAAGCCTGAACGAGAGAATGCGAACGCTGCTCCACTGCCGACCAAACATCATGCTGAATAAACGAACGAAGAAACCAACAACTGAATGCACGTGAACCTTTCGAACCTTGCGAATAGAATTCAGAGACGAATTTATTATGCGAATTAGTAGACCTCGAGGTCAAAGTATCACAATAGTCTGCTTTTTTTAGTAGACTGCACTTTATTAAGTTTCCTGCATGCAAAATGAAATCAATATATATTCAAACTTTGAATGGAAAACAAGCAAAAGGCAAGCGTTGCGGAACGAGATGCGGTAAAAGTATAGATTTATTTGTAAATGTCTCTCGTTTCATGTGCAAAGAAGTATATCAGATTCTGTGGCAATAAATCGGAAATAGAGGAAAGTGCGCATGTAAGGAGAACAAAGAAAAAGAGGAAGGGAAGGAGGTAACCGAGAGAAATCTATTTATTGTAAGGGAAAAGATGTGAGTAAACACTGTTGCGTACCTTAGGAATGTAAAACATGGGCAACTTGACTCAACCGTTATTTTTAAATGTAAATACTATGTCGACTGCTTTATCTGAATGAGCTCGCTTATCAGTCCGCAAACTTGTATATGTAAAGTAAGACGAAAACGTGCGACGATATCTCATGAGAGAAAAATGTATCTTAATGCGGCTTCTTCTTGTGTTACGCAAATCATTTTAACCTGAAAATACAAAACGGATATACTAATCCGGATACGGTGGACTAACAATAAATAACATACCTAATAATTAAAATGAAAACTTTGACATTGTATTATACAGTACAGTAAATGCATGGTTAATTTCTCTCTCTCTCTCTCTCTCTCTCTCTCTCTCTCTCTCTCTCTCTCGCCCTTTCTGCAAAAATCTCTTCGCTCCAGAATTCCTTCTCAATTTAATATCAAACAAAAAAAACTTGTGAAGGAGAAAATGATAAATCAAAACTGAGGAAAATTGATAAAAAAATGAGACTGAACTGAAATAAGAATAAATGAGTTTAAATTCGGAATGAGATTACATTTGTTACTTAAAGCTGTGCTACATATGTCGATTTATGCAATAAAGTATCTAAATATTTCGCTACATACTAGTCTAAAAATAAATTTTGTTGATCTATTAAAATAGTTATTAAGTAGGATTCTAATTGAGATAATCGGAATTCTGACTGACTACAATCAGAATTTTCATACATTTTTCTTAATGTGGTTGTTTAAAACTTTTTGCAGCATTGTTCATTACATCGAACTTAAATTTTTACATAATTATTATGATGAATAGATGAATCCAGCAAAACTTTTTTCAGATCTGTAGCTACCTAAAATTTAGATACTTCAGCAAAATTCTTTTTTTCCGTGTGTAGTATGTACGTATGTGGAATCTATCATCACACAGGGTTACGAAGATCGCGAAAAATGTGTCAACCTACAAGTGTGTCATCGAGCGATCGTGAGATTTCGCATGAAGACAGATACGCGGAAGCTGGCGCGTGGCTTCGCATCGGAAAACATTGCTACCGTTGGTTTCGTATCGGCGCCTATCGAGGGACAATAACGCGGTTATTCGAGGAGGGAGTCCAGGACTTTCTACGTAGATACAGCGGTCGAGAGTTTAGTATACCACGGCGGAGCACCGTTAGGACACTAAACTTTTATTGCGACCTGTTTTCCCTCACGTTGCTGGTAGATAGGATAGATATCGGCATCACCTTAACCCGCGAGACCAACAATGGCACGTCGTTAATCGGCAACTCTTGAGAGATGCGGTTCCTCCGCCGTTTAATCACGATTTTTTTACGATTAGAAGATTTTCGAATAAAGCGAAAAAGAAACGAGAAAGTCGCAGCAGATGTTAACTCTTCGCAGAGTAATATGACTTCAGGAAAATAGTGTGTTTTTTCTTTTATTCTTTATTTCACATTTTTAGAAGTTATGAAGAAACTCGCAAATACGGTTACCATATTTGAATTACAAGAGTACACATGTAAATACCTACGTTTTAAAAAAAGATAATCTTGGAGCGGAAGGAAGAAGTATAATTTCTTTTTATGCGTTAAATGCTCTTAACGAAATAAAATTTCTTGAACATAATATTCATTAAATTCCTACTAATATAATTTTATAAATATAAAATTTTAATTAATGATGACCAGAAGTTTTACGATCTCAAAAAGAATACATGTACTTTTAAAAGAAGTTTAGTAACTCTATAATCACAAATTATGTTTGAAAGTACTAAACATTTAGCGATCAATTTATATTATAGCACTGTGACTGTGACTGTGAAAAAAGAAGAAAGAAATATTTAATGCGAAATATAATAATTATCACATTTGTTCACATTCTAAAATATCAAGAAATTCTTTTTTTGATAAATAATATCCATTTCCAATGTAGATCAGAACTCTAATCTCGGTTCAACTCAAATACTCTCTATCCTTGTTCTAAAAGTTTTAAAAATTAGAAAAAGATGAAGAACTCATAAATACAGTTAGAGATTTACAGTTTATTAGCTACATTTAACATGGTCAGTTTTAAGTGATAATATTTATCAAAAAAAGAAACCTGTTGATATTTTAGAGTATCAAATGTGTTTTGGAGATAATATCTTACGTTAGATATTTCCTTTTTTCCATTTCTAAGCCATGAAGTGGCTTTTCTAGTAGTTTCTCGACTTTATATCGTATGTATGTAAATAATCTTCATTGGTGCGTAAACGAGCGTAAATCGTTGGAACGCATGGAAACACATGAAAAAAAATGATTTTGCTGAAAATTTAAATAGTAAGATATATTTTGTGAATTATCAAAATAATTATAGGTCATTCCTATCATTCCTAAATTTTTATATAACTTTATCTTTTGCTTTATCTCATGTTTGAGTTTTCTACGCAAATGTTCAGATCTGTATCGTCAGTTAAATTTGAAGATATTTCAGCAAAATTATTCTTTCCGTGCATATTACCTAATACAATTCAAGATATAAGCCCAAGATTACTTCATAGGGAATGTGAGGAAGTCAGTGTTATTCGATCGTATTCTCGGCATTGCAAAGGCACGCTATTGTTTATAGTTGGCAACGCGTTAATCAGCGAACGGCTGAAAACAGTGGGCGACGCGCTCGATATACGTGCGCGATGCACCAAAATAATCAGTCGCTCGGTCGACGGAAGCGTCGAAGAAGAGGACAAGTGAGAGAAACGGGAGAGACGGGAGAAAGAGAGAAGAAAGATAGCAGGCATCTACGTTACCTATAAACACACGCGGCACGCAGGGCGCAACACGCACACATAAGCGAAGAAGTGGAGAAAGAGAGAGAGAGAGAGAGAGAGAGAGAGAGAGAGAGAGAGAGAGAGAGATCGAACGAACGGCTAGCAGCAGCAACAGCAGCAGCAGCAGCAGCAACAGACACGGCCATCGGTCGCGTAACCGCGGTACAACGACCCCCGTTGAAACTCTTCTCGTCTGCTCTCTTCGGCTTCGCGCCAATTACGACGCTCTCCTCGGGGCGGGAAATGCCGTCGCGAAGCGGACCGCTAACGAAATCGAGTCGGCGAGTTGGATCGAGAACTCTACGACTTGATTTTACCGACGCTCGTGTTCACGACGAGGACGAGTGCAAGTGCGGAGAAGGTCTGCTTCGCGGAACGTTGTCGAGAGGAAAAAAAAGCCACTCGTTCGCAGAATGCGGTCTACGCGTAGGTATTGTTACTGCGATCATTTCACGCGGCGCTTTGTTTACAAATCTTCCTAGTCTCGGGCCATTATAGCTCTCTTTTTTTCTCAAAGCGAAATTCGTCGCGCGTTCCTGTATGGAGATCACAGAGCTCCGAGTTCCGGAGTACGCGGAGTAAATACATTATTCATTGGTTTCTCGTACGATCGAGCGATTCAGAATCGCGGATTTGTACGTTCCCGATTCGTGAGAATCTATTAGACCGTACCCTCCCTCTTGCTTCTCTGTTCCTCTCGCGCCCTCTCTCACTCTTTCCCTCTCATTCTCTCCTTTCTCCCCTCACACCGACTGTCTCTTTCTCTCTCTCTCTCTCTTTCATTCTCCCATTCCATTCGCCTCTCTTCTTTCTATCGTCTCGCTCACTCACCTGTCAGAGCTCTCGGAGCTGTCGTATCGATCCGCGCACCGCTTCTTGCCGCAGGGCCCGACGAGGGTATCCTCGGCCATCCTAACCTGTCCCTTGAACGGACTGCCCTGATGCCTAGCTACGGCGACGCCGGCGTTGTCCGTCTTAGCAGACGCCGACGCCGTCACTGTCGCCGTCGTCGTCGCCGTCGCCGACGCGCTCTCCTCGGTTGCTCTCGTCGTCTCCTCCTCTCTCGTCGCGACGGCGATGATCATTGTCCGCCTGCCCGCGTCGCAATCCTCGCGGTCGTTCACTTCCGGTGCACTGTTCGCGCTCGGCGCCGAACGTCGCGTCGACGACGACGACGACGATGACGTACCATCGGTATCCTCGACACCGACGCGCGTCCCCGCGTTGTTGTTATTATTATTATTATTATTATTATTACCACCGGTCATGATTTCCGCGGCAACACCACCAGCACCACTTTTACTACTTTTAATACTACTATTACTACTGCCAGCACTGCCAGCACTGCCAGCACTATCACCGTCGCAGTCACTATCGACGCCGCCGACGCTGCCGCCGTTGCCGCCGTCCCCGTCGTCGTTGTCGTGGTCGTCCTCCGCCACGACACTCCGGACTACCTCGATTCTAACATCGCTATGGTACAGGCCGACACTACCACTGCCATTGCCGCCGTCGCCGTCGCCGCCACCACCGTCGTCGCCGTCGGCGCCGACGCCGACGCCACCGCAAGGCGCTTCGAGACTAATGCCGTCGCTGCCGCCGTTCTCTTCCTCGCCGTCGCTCACGGTTGGCCCAGTCGCGTCGACGGGCGACGGAGAATCACCACTGACGCGATCGTTGTCGCAATGATTAGCGAGGTGATGGCGATGAGGATTAAAGTGGTGATGATTACAATGATGAGACGATAAATGATGGTGGTAAGAATGACGAGGATGAGGATGCTGATGACGATGATGAAGACGACGCTCGTGGTGAGAACGATGATGATCGTCGAGCTCGCACGGAGACGCGCTGCTCGAGGCGTCCTCGTATCCGCCGACGCGCTCCACGAAGGATGAGGAGGCGTCCTGGTCTGATATGACGATCGGCGTGGTAGCGTCCGCGCGTTTATGCCGCTCCCTTGTCACGCGAGAATCACCGTCCCCCAGTCCCGTTGCCACCGCCGCGGTCGCGTCCTCCGCCGCGGACGGGCCGTCGTCTGCCATCTTGTAAACGAACGCGAACGCGCGCTACTGTGTGATCGTGTCGTGTCCGTGTTCGTGTCCGTGTCCGTATCCGTGTCGTGTCCGGCAGTGGCCCCCTATGGCACACACGAGCAGCATACGACCGCACCGCGGCTGCTCGGAGACTCGGGACTCGGAGCTGCTCCTCGCTGCTCCTCGCGCTCGGCGCTATGATCCGGCAGCGCACTCCGCTGACTCCGCTGACTCCGCACGTACACAGACAGACAGACAGACAGACAGTCGGCACTCGGCTCCGCTCGGCTCGGCTCGGCTCGGCTTAGCTCGCCAAGCGAGCCCCTCTCGATTTACCCACTCCACACGTAACAATCCAACAATACAGCGGCCACGGCGCCGATTGCCGAACGGCGAACGTCGACGCACTGCTGATGCACTCTGTGTCTGCCCTGCTGTACCGGCCGCCCCACCTCATTCTCATTCGAGTCGAATGTGCTCGACGCCTCCGATCATCTCCGACGTGATCCGAGTCCGCGAACCGAATGCGAGCGTTCGCGCGCTGCACTAAGCTGCGCTTCAACGAGTCTTGACGAGTCTCCATATCACGTGATTAGACTGATCACGTACACGTCTCTTGTCCATTTCCATCAATGTAGATTAATAGATTTTCCACAGAGACAGAAACATAGGATCATAACACATTACATAATGCGTAAAAAATTAATTATTGTCCTTCATTTCCTTCCTTTTCGTCCGTGTTCCAATGTGCGTACCTTTAGGGCGGGAACACAGATTCTTACAAAGGTGTAAGAAAATCAACCAATCAAAGTCTTTTATTTCATAGAAAAGAAATGAGAAGGACTTTGATTGGTTCTTTTTCTTATGCATTATGCGTTATGCTAAGGTCTTGTGCTTCTTTCTTTAAAGCTGGTAGTGTAGAGTCTTACGTAACGCATAATGCATAAGAAAATATATTAAGGTATATCCATATATACAAACTCGTATAACCACATAACATATGCATAAAAAATCATCCAATCGCATTTCTCTTATAAAATCGCGCGTAAAATGTGATTGGATTATTTTCTTTATGCGTACGTTTATGCCGCTGTGCAAGTTCGTATGGATATCCTTAGACTTTCCACAATAAATCATTACTTTAAGTGTTAAAACTGTAAGAAATTGACTCATCATAATTGATTATTCTTTTTACATTGATTGGTTAATACTGTGATTGGTTAATATCTTATGATTAAGATTTTAAGACTTAAAATTTAGGTGATAATTTAGTTTGGTAGAAAAACTATCAAATTCATTTTTACTTTCCATAATAAAACATTCTGACTGATTAATTTTTTTATTGCGCTATGCAAAGATCTATGCTTCGGTTTATATAATGACTTATTGCAGAATGTGTGTAACTTTTCCTAATTTTTAAAACTATAAAAAAATAAAGAATAAATTAAATCAAGGTTAAAATTAATCTACAATGGCACAAAATATTAAAAAATAACGAAAAGAGGTCTTTTTTAAGTTGTCTTTACGATAAAGTGAAAAGATGTTTAAAAGACGAAAAGACATTATTTTTAGATTGTCTTTTCAATAAGACCTAAAGATGTCTATAAGACATATTTTAGTTTTGTCGAAAAAACAACTTAAAAAAGATATCTTTCCGTTATTTCGGTTCTTTTTATCACTTGCGAGTAGTATGCGAAATCGTCACCAGATGGACGTGACGGAGTCCAGTTTCTTGTGAATATAAAGGACAGAATAAAAGATGCAGAACTATGAAAAATTTTACTCGTGTTCTAATGAACATTAATAAAATATTTTTTTGTAATCGGATCTTCAAAGAAGACTATGATAAAAGATAATAACTCTTGCACATAAGACACAACAAACGTTACAAGAAATGGGACGTATATTGTCATGCAATTTTATTTTTTGTAAAAATTGTTTTGTGAAAATTAATTTAGAAATTCGATATTATTAAATGTTATATTGTATCAAGATATAAAAACTAAAAGAAGTATTAAAGATGACTAAAAGATATCCAAAGAAGTCATCCTTTAGTTATTATATGGATAATATAAAATGACTAGAAATGTGATCTGTTGTCTTTTAATCATTTTTTCGTTGACTATATTCTTTCACTAAAAGATATCTTTGTAATAACAATTTAGTCGTCTTTTAATCATCTTTTAAACGACTTTGTGCACTCTGGGAGGCATCTTAGCAGTAATTTTTCATGAGTAAATAGCGTGTCACTGAACTGCTATTACGTATGCATTGCTCGCATGCATTTCGCTTATATTATCTTGATATCGATTTAAGATATGATTAATGTGACTTTTAGAAATAGTTCATGATATGATTATTATTGGGTTAGTTCCAATTTGTTCTTCAAATCTCAACGGAGCTTAAAAAGATTTAACGTGTAAATAATGACATCTAGCGGTGTTGCTAAGAATTATATTTCATTATTTGAACTTGCTTTTCGCAATTAAATTAATTGTTTTATTATTATATTATTATAACTAATTCATCATTTGGATCATATGAAACATCACTATATTTCGGAATTAATTTCTGTGTAATTTGGACAGTATTACCACCAACGAGATACTATTAAAGACCGTCAATCCTGAGCAAATTTTCAATTGTATAAAAAAAATTCCAAGGGAGGTAATTGAAGAACGCTAACATTATCAACAATTGATATAAACTTGCTTTTATTATCATAATGAAATTTAATAATTAATTAATTAAATTTAATAATTTATTATCATAATGAAATATTATTTGGCTAATATATTATGAAATTCATGATTTTTTATTACATAAATGCATACCATAAATAAATATGCATATTTGTAAAGTTATAATATCCTATATATTAATTGCCGAAAAAATTACAATGTTTTCTCTACCAATCATCTCTGTTGATAATCAAACTTTGACACTGAAATCACAATTTTAAAGAAAAATCGAGTATTATTGAATTTTAAATCTATACACATCGATAAACACGACTATTAAACTAATAAATTATAAAATTAGTACAATATATCAGTTTTTTTACTCTCAATCGTTTCAGTATACAGATAATTCAGTTTATTGGCCCACAAAATACAGCCATTTTACATACATTTACAGTCTTGCAGTTACCAATTGATGCGTTGAAATAACAATAATATAACTGGACGGGGTATCACTGCTTATGATAACTTTATTCTCAAGAATAAAACTACTTAAACCTAATATAAAAAACGCTAATTAAAACTATAGAATGTAATAACGGAAGTACATGTTTGATAGATCTTTTTAATTTAAAACAAAAATAACTATATCGATTTATTAAAGAATTCAGTTATAATCTCAATTTCGTTTTCATTCTTTTTAAAATTCTTTAATGTCAATCGGAGCTTTTATATTCAACTTATTAAACTTATGACATATTCTTTCTTTCTTTGGTATATTATTGCAAATCCATAGTATATGATTCTCGTCTTCGATAAAACCACAAAAATCACTATCGCTTATCTTAAATCTAAATAAGCTAGATTTCAAAGAGTTAGAGGCTCTAATAAAAGCTACAATAAAAGGTACAGGAAACAGAGAACAGAGAATAAGATATTTCACCCTATCAGAAACTATGTATTCCACAAAACATGCACAGTGAAAGTGATTCGCTTCAGTATTAATGCTGCACTACTGCTCCCTGACAAAATGGATGTAAACTACATAGCAAGGTCCACTTTTCGAGGCAGATAATAAATCGATATTTGGTTTGTATAATCATGCTAGAGACAAACCTTGAAAGAGAGGACATGACAGCACAAAACCTACAACCGCAAGATACTATCACGCATTACTGCCCTCTGACAAAGTGGATGTAAACTAACACAGCGTAACCACTTTTCTTAGGATACATCTACTTTTCAAGGCTGGAAATGATAAATCGATATTTAGTTCATTTAATTGTGCTCCACCTTTAGAAATTTATTGACTTTCTTCCGCGATCGTGTGTGACTCATGATTTATTTATGCTGGATAATCTGTGTACTATACATATATACTATAACAATGTATTATATACAAGATCGTCGCAATTAATTAAATTCAGAAAAATGACATTCCTAGTCACGTATTTCGACAAAGAAACATTACGATAATCATATATAGGTGATTCGCTATCAGCATTGCTTACAGCAATTTCTTTATAGCCAAATGTCATAATGTTTCTTAGTATTTGTTTAAAATGAATATTTTTATTTTCTCACTGTAGCTATATTGTAAGAAATAAGCAACAACGCGAAAAAAATATCAAGAGCTCTGAAATTCGAACCAGAGGCCTGATCTTCTGCGAAATACTTCTGTTTTGTCATTGAATCACACAGTCCTTTTTTCGCTAAGAATTTATTTTTATATAAATATGAAAGTATGATGAGGTGTATAATCTCCAATGACTTTGATCTTGACAAATATTATCCAGGATCCTGAACAATATTCAAGAAATTTTAGCCATCAGTCGGATATCTTGCGTAATGCTGGTACTTTCAAGCCTTTATAATTCGAAAAATACTTAATGAAAAAATATTTTATTAGTGTTTTGAAAAGCTCTTGAAATGAGCTATAAGAATATGTAATAAAAAAGGGGGGAGGTCCTATTTAAAAAAAACTTCAACTTGATCTTCATATGAATTGCAGATTCTACCCAAAGTCAACTTCTTATCATCAGTTAGATAGATTTTTTTAAGTCTTATGCCTTTGCTTTTATATATTTTTCGCTAAAGTTGATTGTTTTCGAGATATTTTAGTGTTTTCAGACTTTTTGAAGATCTTATATGTACATATATATAACATTTTTTAATGTAGATTGTCCTGTTTTCTCCAGAAATTAGCTATATCACCGACGAGATGCTATTAAAGACCGACATTCTTACGGAAGTTCGCGTCCTTGAGAATATTGAAGTGATTTAGAGTTAAAAATTGATAATATTGTATTAATTTTATAATTTATTAGTTTAGTAGATGTATTTATGCACTTAGAACAATATTTGATTTTTTTTTAAATTGTGATTTTAGTGTATCGTCAAAATTTGATTATGAACAGAGATGATAACTAAAAAAAATTATAATTTTTCTGCAATATATAGAATATTATAACTTTACATTTATT